CCCTGCGAGGACAATCAGTTTCTGAGGAAAGGTGGGCAGACTGGCGCAAAGACAATTGTGGGGATAGGGCTGATGAATAGAGTGCATCGATCATATGGCAACAGTGGAGATAAAGGGCAGTATGAGAATAGAGCATTATAAATTTAAGTGCAGAACAATAGTAAAGTGCATGAGCAAGATTTTGGGTCCTAGTGGGGCCAAGCTATCTGGGGGATTGTCTAGTTAAAGGCACAGCAGAACAACCATGTCTTTAAATCTTTGCGGAAGATGGACAGGGTAGATACTAGTGTAATCTCCCTGGGGAGGGAGTTCCAGAGCCGGGGGGGGGCATCACCAAGAAGGCCCTCTCTCTCATCCCCACCAACCATGCCTGAGATGGGGGTGGGAGTGAGAGAAGAGCCTCCCCAGGTAATCTTAGAGATTGTGTTGGTTCGTAGAGGAAGATGCGGTCACAAAGATAGGCAGGTCCCAAACCATTTAGGGCTTTATAGGTAATAATTTGCTACTTGTATTGGGACCGGAAACTTATCGGTAGCCAGTGGAACTGTTTCAACAGGGGGATTGACTGCTCCCTGTAATTTGCTACTGTTAACAATCTGGCTGCAGACCTTTGCACTAACTGCAGTTTCCGGGCCCTCTTCAAGGGCAGCCCCACATAGAGTGCATTACAGTAATCCAACCTAGAAATAACTAAGGTGTGGACCACGTGGTCAAGTCAGACTTCTTCAGTTTTTTAAATGTATCACATAATGATGGCCAGGGGCAAATAATCAATTAACTTCTATGTACATCTGGGATATGTTGGATTTGAAGGGTCTGAATTGGTGGCCTGAGACAAGATGCTTCTCCCAGTCTTCATCTTCTGGTTCTGATTACCAGAAAAGGGGAAAAAAAATCTGTTTTATGGCTGATCAGTCAAGTCAAATTTACACAATGAATTGTGTAGCAACCATAGATGCTGAAGTTGTTCAGCATGATCCAGTTTCCTTAGAGAAGTGTTTGTCTCAGGCCACCAACAAACAAGTAACATCTTCGTCACCAAAAATATGGCTCGAATTGAAGTAGAACAAAGACTCCTCATTTATGGAGCTCTGGAAACATCAGGCTCAGCATCTTTTGGCAAAATGTCTTACTTTCCTAGCATGACTTACAACAGAGAAGAGTAAGACTGACATGCCTACTTGAAAAAAGAAAACATATTCACTGACTATATGCTAATGTTTTGTGAGGAGTAACTTTCTGTCACATATGGAAGACATCCTAAAACTGTCTTTTATAACTTGAGCTCCACTTCAATCAACACAGGAGCAATGGAGAAACCCATAAAACCAAAGTTAACCCCAATAAAGTTGAAAGGCAAATATGTAGAGAATAAGACTGTAGACAGAAAGGAAGTGAGACAAGTAAATGAAGACAAAGGGATAGCTTGCTCAGAGGAAAAGGAAGGCAACATTTCCTCCTGACAGCAGCCAACAAGGAGTGGAAGCAGGGGAAAAGCACACTAGGTGTCATGGCAGAATTCAGATGAAAGGCTCTTGATTACTTCTAGAAAATTCTAAAGTTGTTCTGTACAGGTGTGGCACCACATGTGGAACTGTACATGCATGATGAACAAGAATATCCATATCTATTTCAAAAATAACTTATTTTGAAACAACACATATTAGCTTCTTTGGATTCAGGGATTGTGCTCCAGACTAGTAACTCTTGTATATATGAAATGTAGTCAAAATGGGCATCCCTGCACATGCTTAATGAATGGCAAGTTTGAGAACTGGTTGACAACAGCCCTCCTAGGTTGAAAATGCTGCTGCAGAATGCCAGGTCAGTAAATGGGAAAACAACTGCCATCCAGGACTTGATTCTGCATGAACATGCTGACCTGGTTAGTATCACAGAGACCTGGCTTTATGAGACTGGGGGGTTAATTTCTCTCAGTTCTGCTCACCGGGATTGTATGTGCAGCTGCAGACAAGGACTGGGGGGCAGGGAGGTAGAGGTAGAGTTGCACTGGTCTATCGTGATTCCATCCCCCTGACCAGGTTCCCCATCCCGCAGTCAACAGTGTTGGAGTGTATTTACCTAAAGGTGGGTGACCAGAACAGAATAGGGATTCTGTTGGTGTATCGCTCACCCCGCTGCTCAACAGTCTCCCTTCCTGAGCTAGCCGACATGGTCTTGGGGATGAAGTCTCAGCAGCAATGGTGTTGGGAGTCTTCACCATCCATGCTGAGACTGTCCTGTCGGGAGTGGCTCAGGACTTCATGGTCTCCATGACAATCATGAGTCTGTCCCAAGTGGTGTCCCAACTACCCATACTGCTGGACACACTTTTTACCTTGTTTTCTGTGCAGGATGGGATGATGGTGATTGTGGTGTGGAGGAACCTGTCGCAGTTCTGTTATCATGGACCAATCACTACATAGTCAGGTTTAGATTTACTAGCATTCCACAAGCCTCCACAGGGGTGGGGGATGGATTCCTGATAGCTTTTGGGGATTTTCCTGTCACCTTGGCAGGCAATTCTGTCGAAGCTCTGGCTGACCTCTGGAATGGAGAAATGGCTAGGGCGGTGGACACAATCACTCCTGAATGTCGTCTCTCATGGAGCAGAGCCAAACCAGCCCCCTGGTTTTCCAAGGAGGTGGTGGCGATGAAGCAAGAGTGACATTGGCGGAAAATTCATAGAGAACCTGGCTGAGAACAGGCTAGAGTGTATTTGAAAGCCTACTCTGTAGCAATGGAGGCAGCAGAGAAATCATTCCTTGCTGCCACCACTGCATCTGCAAGGAACTGTCCAGCTGAGCTGTTTCGAGTGGTCAGGCGGCTACTACGTACTGGTCCTCAAAGAGAAACCCCTGGTCATTCAGCAGCACACTGTGAAGAATTTGCAAGGCACTTTGCAAATAAAATCGCTCAGATGCGTTCCAATTTGAATGTTGCTATTGATATAGTTCCAATGGTTATAACTTTGGCTCCTGCTTGTCCAGTGTTGACAGATACCTTTCAATTTGTGCAGCCTGAGGATATCAACAGGATGCTCGGAGAGGTGAGAGCTACCACAAGCATTCTAGATCCTTGCACTTCCTGGCTGATCAAACAGGCCAAAGGGGGACTGGCAGAGTAGGTGAAGGCGGTGGTTAATGCCTCCTTAGAACAATAGAAAGTTCCAGCTTGCCTAGAGGAGGCACTTGTGAGACCCATATTTAAAAAGCCATCTCTGAACCCTTCTATAATGGACAACTATCGGCCAGTGTCCAATCTTTCCTTTCTGAGATTATTATTATATTTATACCCCACTTTATCTCCCTTTGGGGAGATACGGTGGGGTATAAATATAACAACAACAACAACAACAGCAACACTATGTAACAAAATTTGAAATGTTTTCTGTTTCTGCTTTGAAAGTGTTATTTCTTGCTTAATTGTGTGGTACTTATTTTGAAAGTAGTTGTTTTACTCCAGAAATTTAGTTTTTGTGACTGCCACAAACAATGTTAAATTGGTTGCGATTCTATGAGACATTCATTGAAAAACTGTAGCAAAATGTGCTGCAGGATTCCAAGTTTTTATGATAGAACAAATTAGAAAATGACATTTAGAACCCAGGAACAAAACTCATGTTACACAGTGTAATCAGGAAGTTTCTTAGGTATTTTGATGATGCTGGTAGTTTCACAACTCACTTACACAACAACCAGATGTTTTTGCATTTGTGGTTTCTCTTTCTCACTTTGAATCCAGAGTTAAGAAACAACTGTTCCTCAAAACAAGATGATAAAACTGTGTACATCTGATTTCAGACCAACTGTTATCAACATACTGACTGGATCAGGTATGCCCAATTATATATCAAGCATTGCTATATCTACCATAGTCTTGATTGACAATTTATAACATTAATTACAACAAAACAAACTTTAAAAAATAGCAGTAGTTTTCTGTACATATGACTTATGTACCAGTTCTAAACATGACCACTAGCTTAGAAATAGAAAACACGTTACATGCAAAGATCCACAGGAATTTTGTGAACATGCTAAATCCTACAGTTACTGTTAAAACAAAGTAAAAAAGATGAACTGTAGACTGTAAAACCTCTAATGTAATACTTAGCACAGCTATAATAAATACCATAAGTAGATTTTATACCTTCTCTTTCACTAAATTCTCAGTCTGTAATACAGCTAAAATTATAATAAATAAAATAATTAAACTTTATACCATCTCCCTGAAGAGACCCAGCTCATATAAAGCACTAAATAGTGCAATAATAATAATAATAATAATAATAATAAAGCAAACACAACAAAATACAGAAAGGTAAAATTAATAACAATAAAATTGACCCAATGATACTTAAAACAGCAATAAAACTCCTATTAATTTAAAGGATACTATAAAACCCAGCAAACTGCAAAAATAGTGGCTGTGTACAATATCAATATCCGTAAAGTGCAGAAGTGAACACCCTCTAAGAAGTGCTTGAATATAGTGATTAAGGCCATAAGACTTATTTTAAAAGCCCTGTTTTCAGGTGTTTCCGGAAAACTTGGGAGAGTGGAGGCTACCCCAATCTAGTCTTCAGGGTCATATAATGACAGCTATTTGTAAGTAAGTAAGTAAGTAAGTAAGTAAATTTTATTACGGTTGATGACCAGTTCAGACAGCTAAAACAGCTGAAGCCACCAAAGCTTGCATAAATTACTAATACAAAGAAAATAGGTGAATTATCAAATAGGAAGACAGTATCTATATGGGCTTTAAATAGATGTCTACGTATTCAATGGAGAAAGCATGCATATGCCAAAAACTTAAGGGCCCATACTGATAAGGACATATGTGAAGAAAAGTCCTATAACACTTAATTACTTTTTTGACTGGTGAAAATTAGACATTTCAGAAGCACAATCTTCTTATTACCCTACATCACAAGATTTCACATATTTCAGTTTATATTTTCTTGCAATGATCCAATACTGTAGATTTGTTTTCCTTACCTTTCACTTTTGCAATAACTGTTCCAGCAGCACTTAGAATGTCAACTGAATTGAGACTCTGATGTTTGTTTATTATTGCCTTTAACACACGGAGTAGCTCACCCAAACGTTCATGAACAACATGATGAAGACAACCTTGGTTTTCTGAAAAGAAAGTTGAAAAAGATTCAAAACAATAAACACTACCATCATGATTTCTATTTTTTAAATCAAGGCTTTTTCAACAGTGCTCAAAATGCTTTCAAGGGTACATAAAATGCTTGCATGAAATAGAGAAAGAGGAATTCTATTGAATAACTGATGTAACCTAACATATATTTGGAATTCTTCCATGTGGCACCAACTGACCACAAATTTCATTACCCACAACTGAATAAAAAACGTTGATGGTAGCTGAAGTACATTACATAAAAGACACATTTGGTTGGGGAATGCTATATTAGTTCATCAAGAAGGCACTTCTCAGCTCCCTATAAGGACTGTTGTTGGCTGCTAGGATATCACAGATGTCTCATTTCCATGGGAAAGGACTAAGTGGGGAGTCCATGGACAAAGTTGTCTACTAATGTCTCATTTCCATGTGAAAGGACTAAGTGGCGAGTACATGGGCAAAGTTGTTTAACTAATATTGAAATTTCCACTGCCATGTCTAAACTACCTGTAGGATTCTCCAGACAGTAATAACCATATAGGACATTCCAGGCTGTAGGAATGATGAATCAATTTGCTTTGCTAGCCCTTTCTTCCCAACATGGTTTCAAACAGCCCCTGTAACTAGTAGCTCTAGAACCGGTTACACAGATCACACAAATTCTTTGCTACAGCAGTTCAGATTCAGTGCTTGTCTATTTTTGGGCATAACTCAATGAATTCATGATGTCTATAAAGTCCTGTACAGCTCATGTTCAGGTCATCTGAATGACTGTATTCACCCACATGAGCCTGCTTGTGTTTTTGAGATTATTACCTGGGAGATCCTTCTCACTGTCCCACCATTCTCACATGTACATTTGGTGGGAACACAGGAGAGTACCTTTTCAATAGCTGTCTCTGCGTTCTGAAACCCCCTTCCCAGATAGGCTAGACCAAGGCTTCTTAAATCTTTTTCACGCACAACTTCTTTCTGCCTAGGAAAATTGTACATCATCATAGGTATGTAAGTATATAAAATAAGTATAAAAATCAAAAATTTACTGTTAACAAACCAGCATTTCCAAGGCCTGCTAAACAGTCCGATTTTTCTTTTTATGAAGCACAACTGAAGCATTTTCTGTTGAGTACACTGTAAATACCATATGTTGTTTAGACATTTACATAAATTTGTGTAAATGTCTAAAATGGCCAACATGTACTGAAATGCATAAAGAAAACAAATGCAAAGATTCATATTTTAAGATAAAACACATTCATTTGCTGCTATTTTTACTGATTATTTTATATTTTAGTTGGTTTTCATTTTATGATGGCTTAACCGCTTTCCAATGTTTGTATGCTGTGATCTTTTTTATTATGTTTAACTGATGTAAGTCAACTCTAAAACTGGGAAACAGCAAGACATAATATAATAACCCCCTCATCCCTCTTTAGAGCCTCCCAGTGGTTTGATATTTCCTATTAGCTGCCCCCCTCTTATAGACTCATACCTACATTTTAAACTGTAAGTTTAGGTTGTTTTTTTAATCTGTCTCTTTTATAACATGTTTTTAATCTGCTTTTTTATCTGACCTACTTGGGAACTGCAATTCCCTTCCTTGGGCACCTGGGCCCCATTCTATAGTGTGCTGGTCATAGACCATAATAAATCATTGATTGGCAATATAATAACCATAATCATAATAGCAGATAATTTGTTTTAATTGGAAGAGAGGTTTTTAAATGTCAGAACAAAAACATCCAAAATACTGTCGTTCCAACTTGCTTCTTTAAGTCACTATGAGTCAACTATGACGCCATAAAAAACTCCAGCAGCATGCAAAAGAATGAGAAGTATTCCATCGGTGTCACAAGAGGACAGTGAAGTGACAGCTCCCCCGGTGACCAGAATTCGAGCATACCCTCATGGAGCTGGAATGTTAAATAGCCTCTTTATGTCTGTCTATATATGTTGTGCGTCGATGGCATTGAATGTTTGCCATGTATATATATGCATTCTAATCCACCCTGACTCCCCTGTGGGTTGAATATAAATACTGGAAATAAATGAATAGACTTTGGAGATAACAAGTGCTGCAATAGATCTTTCCAACTCTGGTAAATACAACTGTTCTTTAAGTAGTTATAAGCAAAAAACATAAAGGAATTCAATCCTATTAAAATCTATGAGAATTCAGAAGGGTATTTCTCCACACTAATCTATTTTATTAGGACTTTGATATACTGCATTGTCTTTAAACTGCACTTAGGAAATAATAATTATAAAATATAGTGTTAATCAAGACAATGTTGAAAGCAAATTTAGTAATAAATTGAAATTTTGCTTTAGTTCTGTGTTCGTTTTTATTTTTTTAAAACCTGTTCTGACGACATATGTATGATATGATATCCCCCTCGATGGACTGTCACCTTGTCGTGGTGAGGGGGCTTGCGTGTTCCAATGAACCTGTAGGCACAACAACTGGAGTCGTGCACTCCCAGGAGTGGCCGAGGGGGAGGTTCCAGACCAAGCACAGTCCGAAGACCCAAAGACCTCAACGGCGGAGCAGGCGGAGGATAACATGGCACATGTTACAACGGCTGCGAAGGCGGAAGAAGGCTGCAACAGACTGAGAAGCCACGGTCATTGTGTTAAACTACATCACCAGTGGAACCTCACTGTGAAGTCTGTGTGTTGATCAGTTGTGCACTGACCTCCACACATTAAAAAAACCCACGCACAGGCGTCTTCCAAAGAAAATAAAAAAACAAAGCAACCAAAGTCCCATGGCAATCAGCGAGTGGCGACGGGGGCAGGACTGTGAAATCTGGAAGCCCCTAGTCACAGACTGGCACATGGGCGGTGGGTACGGACTCAGTCGTTCTACCTCAAGGTCCGAGGCAGTTGAATAGTTCGGCAGCTGTATCCGCGACTGAGCAGCCCTATTGAGGACCCACTCTGCTCACCCCACATGGGGAGGGGGCTAGAAAAGGTGCCCTAAACATAGTCTGCCTCTCTTATCCCTGACTGGACTGCCGCGTCCAGTGGGGTCACCACCCTGCGGCCAAAAAAGAAAAATGAACTTCGGTACGTGGAACGTACGGACTCTGATGGACAACAGTGGCAGTGAACGCCCCGAACGCAGAACTGCCATCATTGCAAGGGAGCTGGGACGCTTCAACATCGACATAGCAGCCCTTCAGGAGACCCGGAGAGCAGGAGAGGGACAGCTGAAGGAAGAAAAAGGAGGCTACACCTTCTTCTGGAAGGGACTGCCCGAAAAAGACCAAAGAATGCACGGAGTTGGCTTTGCCATCAGGAATGATCTGGTGAAACATCTGTCCGAAGCACCCACTGGCATCAACGAACGACTCTCAACCCTCCGAATCGATCTTGCCAAAAAACAACGGGCAACCATCATAAGTGCCTATGCACCAACACTAGATGCTGACGAAGACATCAAGGAGAAATTCTACTGTCAGCTGGACCGTCCTATCGGGGATACCTAAGGAGGACAAAATCATTCTCCTGGGGGACTTCAATGCAAGAGTCGGGCGAGACTTCGACCTGTGGCCAGGGACCATAGGAAAAGACGGGGTTGGAAACAGCAACTCAAATGGCATCCTGCTTCTCACCAAATGTGCGGAGCACAACCTTGTCATCACCAAAACGCTCTTCCGCCAGAAAAACAAGTTCAAGACATCATGGAAGCACCCCCGGTCAAAGCATTGGCACCTCTTAGACTATGTAATCACACGCGCCAGAGACCGCCGGGACGTGCTCCTCACAAGAGCCATGACAGGTGCTGACGACTGCTGGACTGACCACAGGCTAATTCGATCCTCGATGGCTCTCAAGATCGCTCCCAAGCGCAGACTCCAAGGAAGGAAGACAAGGCGCAAAATGAACACCCAAGCCCTTCAGGAGCCCTCCAGACGAGCCCATCTCCAAACAGCACTCAAGGACCATCTACCCACAGTACACCCCGAAAATGTTGAGGAACATTGGAACAAACTGAAGACCTCCATCATCCAAGCCTGCGAAGAAACTATTGGATACCAAGCCAAGAAACATCAAGACTGGTTTGATGAAAATGACATCGAGATCCAACAGCTAATTGACAAGAAAAGGAAAGCCTTCCAAGCATGGCAGAGAGACATCAACTGTGCTGCTAAGAAAAAGATCTATGCCAGTGCAAAAGCTGAGGTCCAAAGAAGGACAAGAGAACTCAAGAACATCTGGTGGACAAAGAAGGCTGAAGAAATCCAACACCTGGCAGATACCCATGATGCTCAGGGATTCTTCAAAGCCACAAAGGTCATCTATGGACCAAGAAACCATGGGATACAGCCTCTATGCTCATCAGATGGAACCAAACTCCTGAAGGACCAAAACTCAATTGCACTACGTTGGAAAGAACACTACCAAAGCCTCCTGAACCGCAGCTCCAATGTGGCCGAAGAGGTCCTCTCACAAATCCCGCAACAACAAACCAGGGACGAGCTTGCAGCACTGCCTAGTTTGGAAGAAGTCAGCAATGCCATCAGCCAACAGAAGAATAACAAAGCCAGTGGACCAGATGGGATCCCTGCTGAAATCTTTAAAGAGGGAGGACCCGAGCTGACACACCAACTCCACCAGCTCATAGAAAAAGTGTGGGTGACCGAGAAAATCCCAGCAGATTTCAAGGACGCCACCATCATCACCTCTTCAAAAAAGGGGAAAGAACAGACTGCGGAAACTATCGAGGTATCTCCCTTCTAACCTCCGCTGGGAAAATCCTCGCAAGAATCCTTGCAAACCGCCTTCTGCCCCTCTCAGAAGACACCCTCCCAGAATCCCAGAATGGCTTCCGCCCCTCCAGAGGAACAGTGGACATGATCTTCACTGCAAGACAGCTCCAAGAAAAATGCAGAGAACAAAACCAACCTCTGTACATGGCATTCATCGACCTTGCAAAGGCATTCGACACAGTGAATCGCAGCGCTCTCTGGACCATTCTCCACAAAAT